GCCGTCCACCGCCCGGAAACCGGCAGCCACCCCGGCCAGGGGGCCACCCACAGGAACCAAGAGTCGCACCTCAGGAGACCAAGGTGAAAACACCCTTAACGTCGTGGGCTGTTATTGACCTCCCTCTGCCTGTASTGAGGTTGGAAATTCTTTAAGCAATTGTGTCTCAGGGATAAATTCTGGTGAGATTYTCTAAGTCAGTGACCCACCTTGACTAGTTGTCATCAGCCTCAGATACCGTAGTCTAAAATCTGTCTGTGACTCGCATAATCCAAGTCGACTAACAGACAGCCCTACTCTGCCTAACCTCAAAAACCCTGCTAGATCGTCACCTCTTGATCTAATAATAACAAAGGTCCCTCACAAGTACACTGATGCTAGTATTTTTGGAAATGGTTTGAGTGACCATTGTGCCATCGCTGTTATCAGACATGCCAAATTCTCCAAAGCTAAACCACAAATCCTTTTAAAAAARGGATTTTAAACATTTTTATGAGCAGACTTTTTTGCATGATATCTCTAATTTTGAGTGGAAACTAATCTCTTCCTTTGATGATGTTGAGTTGGCCTGGAACGTTTTAATGATGAATTTTTAAAGTTAATCCATAAACACGCACCTTTGTGTAAATATAGGATTTAGGGGCGAAATAACCCCTGGTTCTCTACTGACATTAGTTATCTCCTCAGGCAAAGAGATCAAGGATGGGCCCAGAKATGAAAAACAAAATTAGAGGCTGACTGGATTAACTTTTGTCAGCTTTGCAGCAAATGTACTTCTGTAATTAAGAAGTCTAAATCTGAATTTTACATATCAGAAATCACCAAAAGTCTAGATGATCCTAAGAAGTTTTGGAATATTGTGAAATTTGTTTCTGGGTGTGTCTTGTGAAATACCCAATTCCTTGGACAAGGACTCTGTAAACATGATTAATAAATGTGCTATGTTAAATAGTTTTAATGAGCATTTTGCTGCAGTAGGGAACTTATTTAATAGTGARGTAAAAGTGGAAAAAAACTGTTTCACTTAAATGTGCCAGTTAGCTGTCTTCGCCTTGATTCTCCGTCATGATTTCCCAGAAGTGYAAAAAGATCTGGTGAAAAACACAATGAAGTAAGTCACTGGATGCTCACGATGTGCAGATTTGTTGTGATGAGTTAATGGATAGGGTTTAGGGCTGCAACTAACGATTATTTTAATTATCGATTAATCTGTTTATTTTTTCGATTAATCGATTAATCGGCCAAATCCTTAAAAAGCTTAATTACATGAATATTAGTAGATATACATTAAGTTAACTCTTAAGGATGCAAGTTATTGATAATGAATTAATCTGAAGTTGATTTATCTTGTACTGTAGATTGATCAACAGTTAATTAAGAAGCAGCCATTTTTTAAAAAAAAAACGGAGTTTTCTCTTGAATCAAGAGGGTCTTTTTTATAATCTCCTGAATTAAAAAACAGAAGCACATAATACATGTTTTAACAAGTTATTTTGCCAGCTGTATTAAATAC